CTACACAACATTGCACCTGCAAAACAAAATATATCACAAAAGTCTAGCCAGCCTCATCATCGCAGTAAAATCCCTCTCTTAAACAAGTCCCCACTAAAGCTACTGTAGCAACTAAACCGCTCAATCAAAATTTCTGCCCCACCCATGGCTTTTTATAAAATTCTCTTCCAAATTACTGCAGTCATGGCTCTGATGCAATGGAACTGTAACGGCCTTCGAGCAAACGGACATGAGCTTAAGGCACTTACCGCCCAAAACAAAATTTCGCCCCAAATAATCTTCCTACAAGAGACAAAATTATCCCCAAAATTCGCCTTTCAAATCCCATGCTACAATTATATCAGGAAAGACAGACCTCGGCCAATCAAACAAACCAAAATTATTCAGAAATTGATATTCCAACCACTAATCTAGAAGTCCTGGCTGTAAAAACAACAATAAATAATAAATTATTAACATTTATAAATATCTACAGAAGACCCTCCATTAATCTTATACCCCAAGATTTAGACAGCGTAGCAAAATTCTTAACGCCCAAGACCTTTATCCTTGGAGACGTAAACTCTCACCATCCATTATGGGGCACAAAACCCTAGACTGACAACAACGGCTTACTCCTATCTAACTGTCTAGACGACCAAAACCTCATTACACTAAACGATAACCAACGTACCAGATACCCTCTTTCCCACGTCCAATCACCTACAGCAATCGACTTAACTATCATCACCCCTACATTTTCAAAATCTTGCCTATGACAGGTACACTCAGACGCCTGGGGCAGTGATAACTGCCCCATCAAAATCACCATATCTACATTACTTGCATCAATAGCACAAACAAACCCCTAATACTACCCCACACCTCCAACACAGAAATCAAATACAATTTACACAAAGCAGACTGGAATAAATTCATTAAACTATGCAAACAAATAGACCCATCCAACATTATTAACACCGATACAGAAACCTTTAACACACAGCTCACCAACACCTTTATTGACATAAGAAATACATGCATACCCACTTCTCGGACCACCCAAGCACAGAAAAACAGTTCCATGTTGGAGCCCAGAAATTATCAATGACAGAAAGGCACGAAAAGGCCCTTAACAAATCAAAATTATATTTGGCCAAGAAAACTCAGAAACGACACTAAACAACTAATCAATGCAGCAAAAAGGAACACCGGAGAAAATTTTTACTCAACCCTGAGGCTAAACCAACACAACTCCAGGAAAATATGGAAAGAATTAAAGCTATTCAGGGAAATTCCAAATCTATAATTCAACCAAACCTTCCGAACCTCCCCACAAATACAGAAAAAGCTAATACAGTTGCTGCCCATTTTTTCGAACACTAGTAGCTCCACCAACTACACAGCAAACTTCCAAAACATCATTAAAAACCATCCACCCTACTCACCTGAACCACCCCACTCATCTACCCATAAACAAAATATAAATATACACGAACTCAAGGCAGCTATTAAACATAAAAACAGCCTCAGTCCCTTGTCCAGACAACATCACATACACCATACTCAACAAACTTCCACCAAACATGCTCAACTTAACACTTACACTATTTAACCAAATCTGGACCACAGGAAACATTCCATCTTCTTGGAAAAACAGCTAAGGTGGTGCCAATCCTTAAGCCAGGGAAACCCATCAACTCCCCAGATTCATTTCGACCTATTTCACTCACTTAACATTTATGTAAAACACTTGAGTCTATAGTAAATGATAGACTAAAACATCAAATCAAACCCGTAACTTAATTAAACAGGACCAGAGTGGCTTCACTCCAAAAAGGCAAACTCTAGATCACATTTTACATTTGGAACACGATATAAAAGGTAGCCCAAGCACAAAACAATACACGCTGGCCATGTTTATCGACTTTAGCAAAGCTTTCGACATGATCTGGCACAACGGCCATATCCAAAACTACAGGAAAATGCCATACATGGGCGTATTTTTAAGTTTCATACAGGCATTCCTCAAAAATAGACAAATATTCGTCAAATCTCACAACACTATCTCGGATCCTTTTCCACTAGAAAATGGAACCCCTCTCGGGGAGCATAATTACCCCAACACTATTCAAGTTCATGATTTACAACATATTCCCGGACAAGTGGCCAGAAAATTTCTACTGCAAAATTCGCTGATGACATTTCTTTTTGGACATCATCCACTTCAGGAAACCAAGCCACAATCAAAACTCAAAGAATGCTTAATCACATCCAAAACTGGGCCCATAAAAGGGGTTCCACATTAACGTTAAAAGACCGTGGGCATCTTATTCAAAAAGCAACGAATGCAAAATTATACACCTAAACTCCATCTTACTAACCAGGAAATCAAGTTTGAAAAGAGGCCAAAATTTCTAGGTGTAACTTTTGACCAACACATGACATGGACACCCACATTAATAATCTGGTCAACTCATGTCAAAAGACTTAAATCTCGTGCGAGCTATCAGTGGTACAAACTGGGGAGCCGACAAACAAACACTTTTCAACATATACAAAACTCTTATACAGTCTAGACTGGACTATGCTGCTCCGGTCCCCACTCCATCTCCCCATCCAACCTACAAAAACTTAATTCCATCCAGTACAAAAGCCCTTACGCAAGGCCTAGGCACTAGGACTGGCACCTCCCACAACACTCTTCTCCTGCTCACAGGCATCCCTTCACTCAAAACACGAATAAACCAAACCGCACCCAATTACTGGGCTGGGGCCCCACACAACCCAATATACAAACTTATCTCAACTAAATACACCAACACTAAAAAAAATCCACTTTAAAAACTTAAAAACAACGCAAACAAAGTCCCCCTACTCACTCACCTCATCCGTCTGCTACACTCACAACACCTAAACACCATCCAGCACACACCTCCCATAACAAGCTACATTCATGACAAACTTCCACCCTCTACAGATACTACCCTAGTAGAAACACTCCAAAATCTCCTAAAATCACTGACACTCAAACCAAAACAAACCTCATCCAAACCCACATCAACCTAAATTACCCCAACCACACCCAAATATATACAGACGCTTCAATCGGTACAAACAAACGCACAGGCATAGGCATCCATGTACAACCAACACCCCCTTAACAACAAACCTCCACTATACAAACCACACAAATATTAACACAGCAGAATTAACAGCAATCCTAACTGCACTACACCTCATCCCCACTATGCCCCACACCAACATCTTAATACTCACAGATTCCCTCAGCGCCGTCAAACAACTCCAACATAAGCACTCAAAATCACGTAACGACCTAATACACAACATAGTTATACAGATTCACTCATTACATCAATTAAATAAAAACATAACCTTAATGTCGATACCAGCCTACACTCACAACCAAGGGGAAATAATACAGCAGACATAGCAGCCAGACCAGCCACTACACAAAACTCTCCAGCCATACAATTCCACACATCCAAAACTGAAATCAAACAACTCATCAAATCTCACATAATAAACCAAAACTACCAACACAACCTCAATACAAACAAATCCACTTGGGTCAAAGCCATCATAACCAAACCTATCACCAAAACCTCACCTACTCAAACAATAAACACATGGACACACTCATCACTAGACAAATCACTGGGCATAACAAACTTAAACCACGCGTTATTCAAACAAAATAGACACCCAGATGGACTATGTACACAATGCAAACAACCAGGAACAATTGAACATATATTTACACACTGCCACCTGCAACAAACAAACATCACACAACCACACAGCAGTATATCTTCTAAATACCACAATAATATACATCTACTTTTTAATCCCCTCAACCCGTCAACTATCTTCCACGCCATAGCCACCTTCCTACAAAACTCCAACCTAATCAATAAAATTTAGAACCTCCCAAACAATCACCACTACACTACCTCTCAATAAGCTTATATATTTAGACCAGGCTTCAAAACCTCATTTATCCATACTATTACTTTATTACCAACATAAGCCTACCAAACCTGTTTCACGGCCTCCCCACCTAGTCAGCTCACCCACAGCCTTTCAAACCACTGCTACGGCCTTTGCTTCATCGTCACCTCCGCCCACCCCAAACACCCACTCCCCACCCCACCCCACCCCCGTTACAAACCCGTTTTTCTTTCTTTATTAAGTCCCCTATTCCTAATTGGTACAGCTTAACTGCACCATTACAAATTAAGCCCCAACATGCTATACATTTACTCTTTTTACCCACGTCGCACTCACGAATAAAAGAAGTTGTTATCCATAAAGTTTGTTCGATATTGTACTTCCCAACTTCTAAAATGCCACCCAAAGAAGAATAAAGTGTTGTGGATCCACTGATGGACTTCTGTGTTTGAAGAGACAGAGATCCCAAAACCTTTAACCAGCCCGGGACACTACCTTCAGTGACTGGCGATCTATAGCCCATTGCTATACTGTTCTCTGTAGTGATATATTTTTGTGATTACATGCTAGTTTTAAATGTTCATCTGTGACAATATAGCTATTTTAGTGTCCTTCATTGACAGATGGTGATATCGACTAAGTTTATGTTAATGTGGAACTCTCATAGTCACGATATCGCTGAAATACTACCGATGTGACTTTAATGTTTCACTCACTCATGCACTCACGCACTCACTCACGCACTCACGCATTCACTCACACAATATGAAGAACCGGACTAGAACAGGAAGGAAGTAACTTACGCTTATCAATTTCGGAATCGGGTTGTCTGGTTGGTTTGTTTGGTGAATGCTTGTAACCGCATCCCAGCTGCACACATTGATATTTATGATAACCCTTGATTCAATGAATTACTCATTGTGTCTTGACATTTATTGCTGTCGAGGGAACGCTTCAACCACTGGTTTCACCTAAATCTTGGAGCCCTGGAGATACATAATGTGTACATGTCAAGTATTTATTACGTGTATTTTTCACATTTTTTACAGCGATGTCCAAGCGAACATTTTTTGCGGTGTTTCTAACTCTGATCTCGTTCATCAGGTACACTGCCTTCTGTAAGTATCCATCAAGTGTAATAACTATCATTTACAATGATATTGCCAATATTTCAAATTACTTTAATTTATAAATCAATTTAATACAAATGGCAATTCCAATGACTATTCACATCTTTCACGGGGAATGAGAAAAGTGTCACATTTATTCATATTAATATAATCATCCTACCTGTTCAGGCCTCCAGCTCCTGAGAGGGTACGTTAGTCCATGCCATTCAAAGAGAATTGTATCAACCACTGTTGTCGAACAATTGTCGACCGGTGAAGATCCGGGTTAGAATTGGTCTTCACCCATGTTTGTCGTAAGAGGCGGCTAACGGGATTGTATGGTCAGATTCACTGACTTGGCTGACACATATCAATAGCGTAGATCGATGGTCATAATGTTTATCACTGGATTGTCTGGTCAGACTCGATAACTGGAATATTGCTGAGTGCGGCGTTAAACAACATAGAAACAAACACTCTATAGTATGGGTCATGACGATCGGGGAAAGTAGCCAGCCAATATTGAGAAGCTGTGCATCCAGAGTCCATGCAGGTAGAAGACGTACTGTCCCCATGGTCTCTCAAGTATGGTGATCAACTTTCAGCTGATGGCAATCTGTAGCCGATTTCTGTATTATATTTTCTGTAAGATTCAAATATTTTGAGGGTCACATGCTAGTTTTATATCTTTATGTGTGTTATTCTAGTTATTTCTTTGATGGGCATTTTAGAAGTTGAGTTGATGAAGAATGATGACAATTTTTGTGGATATACAACTTGTTTTATTCTGTGAAAGGCAACGTTTCGACATAGATTCTAATGTCGTTGTCAAGCAAGTGATACATGGTAAAGTTTTCAGAACATATTGTGGAGGACATGTGCAAAACATTTCAAAATTTGAAAACAAGTGTGATGCAGTTCCCCTTTTGAGTTGTACCACATGTTCAAGTTTCATTCCGGTGAGGGTCGGTGGGGTAGCCTGGAGCTAAAAAGCGTTGAATATTAAGCCGAAACACACGAGTTCGATTCCCCACATGGGTACAACGTATGAAGCCAATTTCTGGTGTCCGCCGCCGAGATAGCATTGACAATTCTCTGTATACCCATGAATACCCGTTGATAGGCGAGGATCCTCAGCGTGATATTGCTTGAATATTGCAAAAGCGATTTTCCTTGCATATGTTTGTGACGGTTTTTCCCCAAAGCGGGTACATTTATCATTACTATTTTGCTGTGTTCACATGTTCCACATAAAGTCGGAATCACACAGGTGCACTACTTTTATCATTTCTTACCTTTATGTAAAATACTTAAATTTCATTGGTCAATGACGCTTTAACAAATTTCTATGTCACCCCTCCACGGAGGGTGACAACTGGAAAAAATATTACCCGCTGCCACGAGAAACCGCCAAACTGTATCGCTAACTATCGTACGACGTCATAATATGACGCATGTAGAATACGGAGTTCGACAACCGTCCGACTAGCTGTTTTGAGTTCACTATATACATTTATCTTACCGACTTTCACTGCTTTATTTAAAAACTATACTGAGGGGCAATAAGAACGCATATGAGGAAGAAATGTCAGATATATTTCTCATATGTCCAAAATGACATATGGCTGTACAGAAAAAGGCATTGTGATGACTTGTAAACTATACTGCAGTGTTTACAGAGGATTACGGATGCAACAATGTTTTTGCGAGCATCTTCAAAACAAGTGATATGCGAACACACAACTGTCAGATGACACATTTCAATACCGTGTGTGTCCTCCTTAAGCAGCCATGCAAGCCCGGAGTCGGCCAGGCATTGACAAACACGATCTCCTAATCAAAGCTTGTGAAACGGCTCTCCAGGTGAAGCTGCAAAGCTTGTGTCAACTCAGCTACAGTTTGGGGAGGATTCAACTGACGTCTCACACGGCACCCAAGTTCATCCCACAATGCTCGGTCGGATTAAAATCAGGTGATCGCGAGGGGCCAGTTCTAGACATCCACATTGTTCTGATGCAAAAGTCCTGTGTTATCCTAGCCGTATGTGGCCTGGCATCGTCGTGTTGGAACACGAGGCGATGTCGTCCGTGTCGACCCATCAATGGCAGAAGCCCTGGTTGCAACAACACGTTGTCAATGGGCGTTGAGGTTCCCTTTAAGAACAATCAAAGTCAGAGCGGGCGTTGACGTTAATTTCCCCCATACCATAACTCCATCACCACCAAAGCGATCACGCTCCAATGACACAAGGTTGAGCAAAACGTTCATGATTACGGCGAAAGACACGTAGCCGACCATCAGGGAAACTGACGTTGAAACGTGATTCATCTGTGAAGATGACATCTCGCCACTGTCTGGCACCAAGATAGCCCCCAGCATCTGCCCACCGTTGACGATTTAGGCGATGTGCATGTGAGGATCTGTCCACGATAGGGTCGACGACATCGGATGTGACGTGCAGCAAGGCGACGGGGTACTGTCCGGTCACTGATGGAACGTCCTCTAGTTCCTATCGTGGCATTTGCAGTCTCTCGTGCAGACCTGAAGCGATTCCGAAAATGACTAACGACGATGTACCGATCTTGCCTTTGTGACGTCACACGAGGCCCCCTGACGTGGATGGTCTTGGACACTTCCTGTTGCCCTATGACGTTGCTGTAGCCTCGAAATGGTCGTCTGGTGGACGTGGAAGTGATTAGCAACACCTCTCTGTGTTTGGCCAGCATGCAGCATTCCAATTGCTTGGTTCCTTTGGGCGTTGGTCAACCGTGGCATCGTGAATGTGAATGGAAGCCATTTCTCAACCTGTGCTTTTATGGGGAGCTGAGAGTGCACATTGCACGTGCACCATGGTTTTCTGTTCATCCAACTGCATTGTCATCGCACATGCTCTTGGGTGCGTTTGGGATGTCACGTCCCTGTCATTTGAAAACGTGGGATTTGAACCTAAACATCAGAGCTGTGCATTTCTTAACCATATGTTTTCACCATATTGTAGTTTGGAAACAGCAACATCTCTAAAACGGACTTAGAGTAGAAAGTCCAATATGCGTTTTAACGCCTCTCAATATATTTTATACATTGAATCGTTTGCACGCTCAACTTAAACATAATATAATCATTTTCAGAGCAGTTTTAGCTTTTCACAATATGTTTCACAGGGGTTAAAATCCAGTCGAGAGGCAAACGCCATTTTGTTTTGCGTGTCATTTAGTCGGTAGCGAGCTTATGGATCTTCACAATAAAATAAAATGACATTTTGTACATTTAACATGGAGGTAAGATAAATACGTTGTAAGCTTCTCCCTCGGGTAATACGGTCTGATGTACGGCGTGCATCAGGCCGTATTCGAGAGAAGCATACGAGTTACTGGGAACACATGACGGTACCCGTGTTCATGTAATCATTTCAGAATTTCACTCACAGTGCAATACATACCTTGTGAAGAAACCTGAAAAAGAATAAAGGAATACTTATACATTAATGTGTTCCTTATTCGTTTCCATTAGTAGATTATAAAAAAGTAGCGTGCACTCTGCGATGCCAACTTTATGTGGAGGGTTTTGGTGATTTTATTTTTACATGATATGAACCAAATTCTCCTTTTACAGCATCGTATTTCAAGTTGACAATCAGCTGGGAGATGCTTCATACACCAAAGGTACACCTTTAATTTCATAATACACTAAATCGTCAAACACGGTAAAGCCCATTGAAAAACCCTTTAATATGAGATTTCTTATGATTTTAGAAAGGATCTTTTCACTACAATTTTAAGTTTATAGTGTGCAGATATCAATTATTGACCAGTTTACGGGACACTGCATTGCATTCAGCGGTTTCATACAAGACAACGAAGATTACAACTTTATGGATACGAAGTTCCTGCGTATGGCCTGATCTAGCTGGCTGTGTTGTCGAACCATTACTTCACTGGTTGTTATTTAAAAAATAAACATATACTCTTAAACAAATGTCGGGGAATCTGAAATTTCAACTTGGATAGAAAGTATAAGCTTTAACAACTTTTTCAAAGACAGACATCTTATGAAAGCACCACCATTACACTTTACCACCACCCCTAAGCAGAACGCATGGGATGCACGTGCACAACGTTGTAGCCCTATACACGTACATGGGTGTCATTCTTTATTTGACGGTTTAAAAGAAGGTCGATAAATCACTGTATACCATTAATTTTGACAATCATCTTACATCACACAGTTGTTAGTGTTTGTTTCTAGCCGGTGTTTTTTGGTTTATATTTCTTTTTTTAGTCTTTTTTTTGTACTACACATGCAAATATCACGTCCTACACCAATCATCACCAATCAAGAGCGATTACTGTACAAACAACTTTAGTCATGAGTACAGTCAAACCTGCACTAGACGTTTTTCATATTCAACATGAACAATACTGTGTATCTAAGCATCCCTATGTCTATGTAAACATCTGTTGGGAAATAATGGGTAATGTGAAAATGGCTTATGCCTTGCATGTTACCAGATGCCGTCAAACCTGCATTGGCCGAATTTAATATGCAATACAAACAACATTATGTATCTACGCACACTTGTGAACATGTAAACATCTGATAGGAAATAATGGGTAATGTAAAATGGCTGCAGTCATACCTGCACGGAAATACACTGATATTGATATACAATGTGAACAATATTATGTATCTACGTATACTTAAATACATGTAAATATGACTTGTGCTGGAAAGTATTTGGGTAATGTGTCAAACCTGCACTAGTCGTAGTTGATATACAATATGAACAATAATATGTATCTACAGCTTGTTCAGCTTGACCTGATCATATGAATACTAATGCATTGCGTGACCGTGTCACAACTGGTTCGGTCTATTATTGTCAAGGGGTGCACCTTTGTCAGTTGATTGTCAACATGTCCGAACAACCAAGACAAGGCCGCCGTTTGAATCGACAAATCGTCAGCAATGTCCCAACTTTCTTCAAAAAAGAAGCTACAGATGGTTTAATGTTTCCGATTCGGGCTGTAACGAATCCAAGTATGAATGGGTCGCACGAACGCAACACTAACAGAATTCTTTGCTCCAATATTTAATGAAGTTAACTCGACCAGCCGTTTGTGCCATTTGACCTCCTGGGTCATGCATATGTAGAGTAGCTCAGGTCAAGCTGAACAAGCCGTACGCATACTTATGTACATGTAAACATCTGCTGGGAAATAATGGGTGATGTAGAAATGGTTTATGATTTACATGCTATCGGAGACCTTATGTATCTATGCATAGCTGTGTAGATGTTAACATCTACGTATACTTATGTACATGTAAACATCTGCTGGGAAATAAAACATAAATAAAAAATACAAACACAAAAACATTCGTCATGCGGAAGCGCAGGTGGTGATGCTCTCTCAAAACATTCATTATTATCTTATCAACATTGACTGACTCCGATATATCTCCCATTTTTTTCAATTGTAAATGAAAAATGAAGTTCCCGAATTTTTTTCTGAAATCATGTCATCAAAGTAATGTGACATAAATATATGGAGGTTGGAGTGTTCGAATCCAATAGTATTCACGACAGTAACGAATGTATATTTCAGTGGCAACGTTGTAATATGGATGACAGTCCTCAGCTGCTCATGCCCAGCAACGGATATCAAAGAGGGCAGGATAATTGTTGATGTTTTATTTTATGTGTCAGGTTCGGCAAGGTCCCGACAGAAGAGTGAAGACGCAGTCCTTGCAAGTGACATATAACATAGACGAGCGTACACATAAAGTAAGTAGTGAGTGAGTGAGTGGCAAATGGAGTACGTAAAGCATGTAATAAAAGAAATTTAACTTAACTGTTCCTACGCTCCTCTCAATGTGCTGCCGACTCTATACGCATTTTCCCTTGCGTAAGCCCAGCGATATTGGGGTTTTCAATATCTGTGCGCAAACTTTAGCGATGAGGAGGAGGATTTGGAGATTTTACGTGCGCTTTTTCGACATAATGCGTATTTCGCACACGTCAAATAGTAGACAGCGGTGCAGTTTAAAGCAAGTGCCAGTTTATGAAAGCCCTTCTATTTTCAATATATTGTGCATTTCGCATTCAACATATATATGGGACTAAATGTAATATATATAGGAACTAATATACATATATATTATTTCTCCATGGAGTGAATGTGCATCATTAGACAGGAATGGAGTCGATTGGGTCAATCCTCCTTCACATCTTGTATGCGCCATCTTTGGATTAGTTCCTTAGGCTCTGGTGCGAGGGGTACAATGTGCTCCGGGAATTTTAAAGGACGGGAGGCGAATCTTTTGTCGGGTACTTTCTAAAGTACAATTTATACTTTGTTACAGACGAAACCGACGAAAATAGTTTAATGTCGAAAATTTGGGCTAATGGATATTGTCCTGGAACTTGCAGTTAAGCCACATTCACACGTTATATTTGTACAGTAATGACTCGAAGGCTGAGACCGTCGTGTTCATGTCTTCTTCGTTCCTGAGTATGACCCACATAACCATACATTGTTCCCTTCAACACTTTACTGTCGCAGAATCTCTCAATGATTTTTATAAAAGAAGGCCATTCATGCGTACCGTGAATTCTATGCCTGTGTTCGCGCCATTTCGTCTCCTAAAACAGTCGTGACCCCACTGGGTATTGCATAGATAACCGACTGAGGAGAGTGATCAATGGGCATGTGATCATTGGCAATTGTTTGCAGACCATCATAATGGGGACACCATGTTTACCCCTAACCTATGTAATTCGACTCTTTCTGTCGCCCTACGTGTACCTGTTTCCTTGTACTAGCACACTCAGCAACTGTGACGTGGTTCTCCAAATAATCAGGTCTGGACCAGACAATCCAGTGATTAACTTTATAATCATCGATCTAAGCAGTTGAGATACGACGACATGCATCACCTGAGGCAGTAAGCCTTACCTCCCGTAGCATGGGTTGCTGAATGTCAATTCTAACTGGGATCTTCATGGGTACCTTGATTCGGCAGCGGATGTCCCAAAGTGACATTATAAGGCACAATGTCACGCAATTTCTCTAGAAATACATAATGCATTTTTCTCAAAAATACTAACTATAAGCCCTCATGGAGGCTACCAAATCATTTATTCCCAAAACAAGTACGTATTAAAATTACAATATTGAATTATAAAGTTCAAACGAAATAATACAACGTTGCATGAACTCGACTCTCGCGCCCTCTAGCGGCTGAACATTATCCGCCTATGTTGGCATAGTACAACGACGACAGCAAAAAGACTCTCAGTGAGAATCAATGGGCAAATGTCAGAGAAAGCCTTCAGTATGGAGTTCCACAGGGTTCTGTACTGGGACCAGTGTTGTTCACTATCTGCACATCACCTCTCGGAGACTTTGCTCGCGCAAATAATCTCTCGTTCTATCTCTACGCGGACGATACCCGGCTGTATCTGGCCTTTAAGCCTTCCAACAGAACATCAGTAGAGGATACATATCGTCGTTTGATGAACTGTATCAAGGGCATCAAGGTTTGAATGGCGCTGAACGTTCTCAAGCTCAACAATGAGAAGACGGAACTGCTGATTCTCTCGTCAAAGTCAACAAGAGGCAAACTTGCTCTGCCCACCTTTGAAATTGGAGTTTGCATCATTGAACCAAGCAAAGAAGCCCGAAATCTGCGATTTGTATTTGAGCCATGAATGCAAAGCCATGAAGGCAGAGTTCTTTGTAAACAAAGTATGCAGACATGTATATTTTAACATCCAAAACACTGCCCAAATACGTCGATACATAAATCTAAAGACCATAACATATCTTGTTCAGGGCTGCGTTGTGTCCCATTTAGATTACTGTGATGCTCTTCGCATTGGACTACCAAAGCAATTGAAAGCGTACAAAATTGTGCAGCTAGACTTGTGACAAAGGCAAAAAAAGACAGACACATTTCTCCAGTGTTAACGAAACATGGTTGAAGATGCGGACAGAATCACTTATAAAGTGCTCCTGTTAACCTTAAAGGCAAGGGCAGGCCTAGCCCCTGTGTATCTCCAGGAACTCCTCCAGGAGCACAAGTCCACGGGACAAGGCATGCTGTGTGTTCCACACGCAAGGACCACCGCCTGTGGGGATCGCCAGAGCAGCTCCACGACTCTGAAATGATCTGCCATTAAACCTGTGACTTGTCAATAACTTAGCCACTTTTAAAACCATTTTCAAATACATACGCCGAGTGGACCTTGTTGATACATGTGACATGCATCCTCTCAAAGTTCTTTAGCGTTATACTGACTGGATTCTTGCGCTATATAAGTTCTTAGTTGACGATGATGATGACAGAAAACTAGACGCACACAAAAAAACGAAACAGCATAAAAATCCTGGTTAGAACTGGACTTCCGCATCCAAGACGTGTCGTTTGAGGTGACTTACATGATCGGGTAAGACTCCCAGACTTGTATGTCTCTCACCTTAGATAGATATCATACATCCTGTTTGAGTGGATCACTGGATTGTCTGGTCCAGACTCGATTATTCGGAGACCAGTGGCTGCAATATTGCTGAGTGCAGCGTCACACAACAATTATACAAAATATATTCTTCCGACAAATCCACCTTTCTCGAGCTACAGATAACGTAACATGCTTTCGACCGTCCTCAGAGCTGAAGTTTTCACTATACAGACAGACAGACAGACGTTATTGACACATGCCACAAACGCCTTTGGTCATACATGGAAACATTTTACAATTTTCAGTTATAAGATGGTGAGGTTCACACCTAGATAATTCTTTACCTGTTGTTTCTCACCCGGAATTATTTATAAGTAGACATGTTTTTTTAGTATTTTTCAACTGTACAAAATTATATACTGAATAGTGTTTATAACAATATGACTTGATATAACGTGATTTTATATAGGAATAAGCTGGGCATTTAATGCGGAAATGGAATTCGTATTCTAGATTATTTTCATCAACTTTTCATTATATCTTCTTGCTTCCCGTGGGATTCTACCACTATCATGTCTACTAGTGTCAATACATATTGAATGGGATGACATTCTTGTTTGTTCGCATAATTTGAAATACTATTGGGATACGATTCATAACCAAAATTATCCTTGTAGTAGTCCAGTTTCTTAATTAAAGATTTCAGTGTGTGATATATTTAGCCAGTAATCGATACATGGAAGGGTTTTCCGGGTTTGCACGGGTTACAGTATTGTCGCTAATTTGTTGAAATATTGAAAATGTTTACTTCGTGAATCATCAGAATTACTTTTTTTTGCAGATCCTCTCTCAAAGCATTGACGATCCTTCTTTGATCCAACCAGAAATCACAGTGGTTACAGCTTATTTCAACATTGGTTCCTTCGCCAAAGGAAGTAGTGCTAACACGTTTACGCCGGGCAAATATATGCACTGGATGAAAGTGTTTGGCAACATAAGAAACAACCTTGTCGCATATACCGATTCGAAGGATGTGTACGATCTCTTCATGAACCTGAGACGCAAGTTTCCCAGCAATACGACGAAAGTGTTCCTGATAGACAGACACAACCTATGGTCCTTCTCTTTGGCTGAGGAGATCCGTAGTATCTACAAGCAGCCTAACTATCCAAGGCATCGCCCGAACACAAATCAACGAGAACTACTCATGTGCAATGCATGCTAAGTTTGAATTGGTCAACAAAGTCTTAGCGGAGGAGCTGTTTCCAACAAAATATTTCTGCTGGCTCGATATTGGACTCTTCCGGGATCTTGCTGATGACAAGAAGACCTTCAAGCTCCAGATTCCCAAAGAATGGGATCAACGGAAGGTAGCCTATAGTGCAGTATCCCGCTTTAACAAACAGACGACAATCGTAAATGTTATCAAAAACAATATGGTGTGGGTTGGAGGCGCAATGTTTTTAGGAACACCTGAAGTGCTTCATAACTACACGGAAGACTACATGAATATGGTCAAGATGCTGTTAAATCAACGCTTGATGAATACAGATCAGCAGGTTATATATTCCATGTACCTGACATCCTCGCAGGTTAAACCCAGAGTTCAGATACAAACATTCTCCCGCGAGCACAATCCTTATGGTTATTGGTTCTACCTTGGGTACCTGTGCAGGGAGACATGGTTAAAAACCCAAACTCCTGTGAATAAAACAGCCTAATAAACGACATCCTTTAGCCATGATTCTGTCACTTGGTTCCCTAAACACTTACTGATTACAGAAAACTACAGTTTAAACTATTTTGATTTTTTAGAAATTATTATCAAACCATATCAAAGGTATTGGTTCATGAGCATCGATCTGCCCAATTGGAAACCGATGACATGTGTCAACCAAGTCAGCAAGCCTGACCACCCGATCCCGTTAGTCGCCTCTTACGACAAGCATAGTCGCCTTTTGTGGCAAGCATGGGTTGCTGAAGACCTATTCTACCCCGGATCTTCACGGGTCTTATCCAGCTGTATGGCGGCGGACTGTTAATAGTCAGCGAGCCTGCCAACCCGATTCCGTTAGTTGACAGTTAACTGTGATTTTTTAAGCGGTATGAAACTTCATTTTCAAATGATTCCCTTTAAAACGTTAATACGAAATAGCTGCATGTGTTTGGATCAAATATTTTAATATGCGTCGTACTAAATGACAATATCTTGACACGTGTATGATTTTTGTCGATACATTTTTAGAAATATTTTACAAGCATAAGTGGACATGGTAAATCTCTTTTTAATGGTTCGAGTCACATGCACCACGAGAGTGCATATTATCTCCACACAACCAATAACGTGGGAACGTAGATTAATAGAGCGTAATCTTCTGATAAGGTCTTCACGAGTGGTAACAAATGAGTGGCTTTGATTTTACGCATCACTCAACAACATTTTTGCTATAAGGCGATTAGTCTGTAAATAATTGAGTCCGGACCAGACAATCCAGTGATCGACAGTATGAACATCGATCTATGCAATTGGGATACGATGACATGTGTCAGGCAAGTCAGCGAACCTGACCACCCGATCCCGCTATTCGCCTCTTATGACAAGCATAAATGGCGAAGAAGGCACGGAAGAAAGCTGAACGGTATGTCCGTCGGCATCCAATGGTCGATAGTTCAAATACGTTTAAAATTCAAAGTCCTTTTAAACAATACAACACGCCAGTCTTGGCAAAGTGTTGTTTCAAAGATTATCACTTACGCCGATATCACTGGTATGGAACATGAACCAGAACTTAAAGGATGAAGGTTGTAAATCGAGCACACATCTCAAGCACACATTATGTTTCCAAGCATGGGTTACTGAAGACCAATTCTAACCCGGATCTTCACGGGCTATTATATCAAAAGCCGCACGCACTCGGTCAGAAGGTATATTATAAAATCTAAATGTTTCAGCAGAAAGCACATGGCTTTAGATGCACTTACTGATACAGATTTTATTGACATGAGGCTTCTGTTTCTAGTGAACACAACACCGAAGAACGTGGAATTGTCTGCGATTTCAATATCGGTATTCTCCAATTTAAACGATAACCTAAGATCCAGGCTTTATTTTCTGTCGGGTTCACGTCCAATTACAAACATTGCAATATTCTGATCAAATAATCAAATGTAGTTCGTTTGAAGAATTAACAAGCACAGACCCATCGGCAACAGACGGGGGTTAAGAAGTTACACAATTATGTATGTAAATATTACCAATATTAACACTGTACATGCGTCTTTCTTTAGAAATGTTTCAAGATCATTGATGACGAGACCAAAATAACAGAGGTGACAAATATTCTCCTTGTCGTACGCCTCAATAACACGGGAATTACTCTGATACAGTACTATTCACATGAGCCTATTTTAGCTATGTAGCAGATTGTACCCTCAGTATCACATGTTAGTACAATATTTCATAACCATTGTTAGAACAATATTTCAGAACCAAACTCTCCTCACATTATCAAATCCATAATAGAGCAGTATGATTTTGCTTACTTTTCAAAAGAATTTCTTTGAGCATATCCAAGACGAAACTGTTATCTGCTGCCGAGTAACTCTTTCTCAGTCCAGCTTGAGCTGAAGTTTCTCCAGAATATTATTTTATCTATTCTTTTTTATATTTTTTTCTTTCTTTGCTCAAAATTGTGAAAACAGGTATGTATTGTGTTGGAAAGGTTTGTCCAGGTGAACATAACATTGTTCATATTTAAAGCGTGTTTTCCAGACAAGGACTGTCTTTGCATTGGAATGTATTAGTTCAATATGAGTATCTATAATAAAGTGAAGCAGATGACACGAAGAATAGTTTTGTCATTGTACGTCAAGGAAAGTCAAACTACATAATACACACACACAGTGAGAGAGAGAGATACCGAGACACACACACACACACATGCAAAGTTTAAAATATAAGTCCAGATATTTTTTCTTGCCAAAGCTCTTTCATCTGCACAAGATCTTCCACGTTCAACGTCTCTTCAGGTGAAAGATCTTGTGCAGATAAAGGAGCTTTGGGAAGAAGAAATATCTTGACTCATCTTTTATATATTTATTGCTTATACGCCTGCAGAAATCACTTGATACATATAGATAGATATATAATCAGTATCTCTCTCTCTCTCTCTCTCTCTCTCTCTCTCTCTCTCTCTCTCTCTCTCTCTCTCTCTCTCTCTCTCTCTCTCTCTCTCTCTCTCTCTCTCTCTCTCTCTCTCTCTCTCTCTCTCTTAAGGTGAGTACAAAGGGTATTTTGTCCTCTGGTCTTTGAATAGCATTTAGAAGTGATACACATGAGGGCGAGAGTTCTATGGATGCCAACTTCTTATTTGTGAGGAACAACGTTTAGGAGTATGTCCTTATTTCTTTACCGGATGAAGGAGTAAGGATATACTCCAAAACGTTGTGCTCTTCATGATAAAGAAGTTGATATCCATAAAACTCTCGTCCTTATTTTTCCTTTGTTTCCACGTCTACATGACAACAGTTGTACAACGACAGTGAGTGGACATTGGGTTTCATTGGACTTTTGTCTTGATACTCATGTTTTTTTTACGCTAAGCTTCAAACGCTCAACGAAATATATATTTTGTATGAGAATCCTATAGCTAACCAATTTGCAACATTTATTTTTTTGCTAGGCAGTCTTTTCAGTAGTTCAGTAGTCTACATTAGGTATTCCAGGCGCATTTCTATTTTCAAGTAAAATCTGTCCTTCATATTTAGTGGTGTAAATGTTATTTAGAATAACAACATGATATGTGTTTATTCCTCTAATCAGTGGTTTGATATAACGATTCTATTAACACAACCTAGTAACTGGAGACAGAAATACATAGCCAAACAGGGTTGGTGTAACAATTCAGTTAACACAGTCAGTGTCACAGAAGTGTATTTATCCAATAGTACTATAAATTTTTGTCCTCCTGAGAGGATACATAAGTCCCAAAAGCACCAAAGGAAATTTAAACTTAACAGGATTTTTTTTTTTAAACGTAGTATTTTTTGTGATTTTAATCTATGACTACATTTTCCTACAATCGCCAGCAGCTTAAGGGCTTGTATAAACCCAGCTAGGTTCCATGCAGGTTACAAAGGCACTGTAAGTACCCATGGTCCCTAGTATGGTGATCTACCTTCAGTTGTTGGCGATCTCATATATAGCCCTGTTTTATATTGTATTGTCTTCTTAAGTTGAACTGTTTTAGATTTAATTACTAGTTTTAAATTTATATATCTGTGATAATCTAGTTGTTATACTGTCCTTCGTCGACAGTTTTTTTTATAATTTACTTGCGTGTATTTTGAATTTATGACTTTGAAAGTCACGATACAGCGGAAATATTGCCAGTGTGACTGTAAATGTTAACTCACTCACTCACTCAGTATTCATCCAATACCTCAACTGCCAGAAACGGGGTGTCAGCCTATTTTCGCTAGCGGTAACTGTTTCATGAAAAGTAGAAAATAAAGGTTATCGGAATTTAGTCAACCTCTAATTCCATGCTAACGTGTTTTTCGTGAAACTGGAAACCCTGATCGGAGGCTTTCACAAAACACACGCTGGCATGTATGTTGGCATGCTTTGGTTGGGTTGGTTGGGTTGTTGCTTAACGACGCACTCAGTAATATCCCAGCTATCTGACGGAATAGATCTGTAACCAGATAGTCCAGTGATCAACAGCATGAGCATCGATCTACGCAGTTGGGATACGATGACATGTGTCAACTAAGTCAGCGAGCCAAGTCCAAAATTGCCTAACTCCATTTTGAGCCTTACAGAAAAACCATAATTTCTTCAACTTGCCAGCAGATGGCATAGAGCTTACGTTATGAACAATAGCTATTTGAAGATCAATTTCTCGAGATGCCCCGTGTAGGTGTGCATCAGTTAACTGACTGTAGACCAATTCGTTTGAAAGGTCAGCTTTAGGAGAATCCATGTAGATAGGTTTTCCATCATTTGCAAACATACTCAGCTCATCGCATTGACTGTCGCCAGTCACTGCCTGGTTCATCATCAGTCCCCGTGCTCAAGAGAATCACTGGCTTGCTCATCCTCTATGGATATCCCAATATTGCAGATATACATGGTGGTAAGATGAACTGGTGAGAGGTTAACAGTTGAGTTTGTTTTTCTTCGGAACCGTTCTGCTGGCTAGACTCAGAATGACATGACGTTAG